AAATGCATATCACAATATTCCACGTATGAAAACACAAAAGGCATTTCAGCAACTCCGCACAACTAATTACCAAGCATTTCCGACGCGGCCGCAACGTACTCTGTATGTAGCACTTGAGCTTACGGCTAGTGTGAATCACCACACTCAAGGACAAACATAGATAAGACGTCTCAGCTGACAGGTACAGTCCGTGGACCCGCCAGAAGACCACACTATTCTCGGGCCATTATCTCCGTAACCGTTCAACTTTGGACATAGGTGTTTTTGGTTATATCGGCATACTTTAACATAAGGAACACTCTTCCGAAGTTTCGCACATTCCTCCTGGGACATCCTGTATACGAGTGTACATAATATGTTGAAAAATGTCTTCTATAAGAACAAATCTAAGTAATATAAACTGAATATAACGCATATTTCGTGTTCTGTTAAATTCAAATTCATAATATATATGTAGGAATTTTCATTACATTAACTTCAGCTATAAACATGATAAGACTCTCTATCTAAAGCATATTATATACAGAGTGTTTCACGACTTTAGGGTATAACTGGAGGAGGTGATTTCCTAGGTCTTTGTGATCAAAAAAGTTCATATAAACATATGTCCGATTTTGGACGGTTACGGAGTTATGGCCGTTTTAAACTCAGAATATAAGGTAATGATTACTGACAATAAACGGAACAAAATAATAAACCAGGATAATACATGATACATTTAAAGTATGAATGTAAAGTTAACTTCGTGAAATTACCTTTAATTTTAATTGATTGGTGCTTAAGGCTGGCTTTCGAAAATGTCCCCGCCGGCCGCAACAAAGACTGCCGCTCGGTTGTGAACCGCGCTGGACATACCAACCCACCCCGCTCTCAAGTGTCGAGATAAAGAGAACGCGCTGTCTGTAGCTGGCTAAAAATAGCGATTCGCCAGCTGACAGACGCGGTTCATACGAGGGCGTGTACGGGAATGAACAACGGTCATAACTGGGAATACTCGGAATATATACGGTATATATACAGGGTGTCCCAGGAGGAATGGACCAAACTTCGGGAGGGTGTTCCTTATGTTAAAGTATGCCGATATAACCCAAAACACCTATGTCCAAAGTTGAACGGTTACGGAGATAATGGCCCGAGAAAAGTGTGGTCTTCTTGCAGGTCCACGTACCTGTCAGCTGAGACCCTTATCTGTTTGTCCTTGAGTGCTGTGAGTCACTAGCCGTAAGCTCATGCGCTACCTACCAGAGCCTACAGATTACGTTGCGGCGGGGTCGAGAATGGGTGGTAAATTAGTTGTGTGATGAGTTGCTGAAATGCCTCTTGTGTTTTCACACGTGGAATATTGTGATATGCATTTTGTGTGTGGATTTTGCGGTCGCAATGCACGTGCTGCTGTTGAAGAATACCAAAGGCGTTTTCCCGATCGAAGGATTCCATCTC